GAGATCCCTTTCGACCCATCTGTCGTCGAGGGTTAAAACTTTTTTGTCTCTTGCAAAAATGTTGGAAATCATATACCAATCAATAAAGGAAGATATGTTTTTTTTTTAAATAATCTACTGTTTGATCATAATTAATTTTTTCCCACAAAAATGGGTAAAACTACCTATAGTGAATTCGTACATAGCGCCGTATGAATAAAAAAGGAGCAATTGCCTTTTCTTAAACATCATCACATTTTCTTACATACATACATACAACCTCATTTGGAAATTTGGAAAAAATCTTTTGTCAAGATTAGGACAAAGCCTAATATTTTTCCACAACCCGATTGGGCTACCAATTTACAACAAATTTTGGGCAAAAGTCCATTTGTCTGACTGTCTTTAGGTTTGTAAATTGTGCCAAAATGCATAATCCAATAAATCTGCGGTCAATCAGTACTTCACCGCCAACCTACGAGTGGTGTTTGATAAGTCAGCTTATTTTGAATAAACAAATTTTTTTTTCTGCGAAGCAGCGTTTCATTCCTCAACATAATCTCTTTTTAGCTCGAAACATTAAATCTAGCGTTTTTTTTTTCAATTTTATTTATCCCTTCCAATGAATGTAAAGTCCGTAAGGAGTCTTTCCTTTCGCTGATGACCTCGTCAACCGACTCAAAACTCATGAAATGAAATGAAATTTTTAGTGGCCAGAAAAACCACCAAAAACTAAAAGTGAAATATTGCCCAATGGGTGTACTTAAACCCTCGAGAAAGTATTTAAAGGATAGGGAAATGTGAGCGTGGGAAATATTTACTCTTCTTCGAACTTATACCAAAACACAAAAATATACCACCTCAGTCTGGCGAATATCGTACAGCTGCAGAGATAATGCCTGTACTACTACTCTGTCTAAGAAGGAATATCGACACTACCCTGTCTGGCCTTTACAGTAAACTCTTGTATTGCACCAACAGTTGTTAAGAGCCTTATTCATGAGATCCATGATCTGTAATCTAGGGCCAATAATTCGCTGCACTCTATATACATACATTGTAGGTCGCGTATATTCGCGTTTATAATAAATTTAAAAAAAAAAACAATTTGTTTTTACAGAGAAATTTTCCTAAGGAAGGAATATTCCAACATTATTAAATAGTTTACAAAACAAGCGAAAAATCTGTTTATTAACTATATCACCAATATGTATTTGTAAAATATTTGAATAATTAAATCTATAGCTAAAAATATTTTGGTACATTTTGTTACACTCTGGTACAGTTTTTGGCACACAAAAAAGGAGGTAAGTGGCAACCGTGACTGTGGCGGTTGCTAAAATTTTCGTGTAGTCTATAAAAAGATGATACTTAGTTGATAGCAGCAGTGTTGCATTGTCATATGGTTAAAGTTCCTACACGGGAGATTCAAAATATCACTGACTTCTCGAACTGCCCTCGCGTAAATTAAACACATTTAAATTTGATATTGCACGCACAAATACCTACATACATATTTTCATGTGTAGTCATATCAATATGTCAATTGACTTTATTAAATCTTGTCACGCCCAACGTAAGTACTACATTTGACCACGTCATTCGACGTATATTTTTGATATCTTAAATTGTTTTGACTGCCGAAAAACGCTACGCCACACACGCAGGTTACATTGAAACTGCATTAGCTGATGTAATATCCGTTCAAATTTTCGTGCTCGGCATTACTTTCAATTTACGCAAATTTTGTGAGCGTACAGAACGGTAACGGTCAGTCGAATGTAATTAAGTCTTTAACCAGCGGCACCTAGAAACTTCATATAAACATACATACATACATACATATAAAGCATATGCAAAAACTTTGCCGAAATTTCAAATATTTTATACACCTCCAAATTTCGTGGTGATTCATCTCTGGCGCGCCCTTGTTTTCGTTGTCCCCTCATGGGTTCGGAGCGTCGTCATCCATATCGTCGTTAAAAAGCTCATACAGTTCGCCATTCCATCTTCTCCTATACCCGTCGTCCACGCGAACTGGGCCGTACATCTTGCGTAGAATAGTTCTCTAGAAAGCCCGCTAACGCCTTCTCATCTTTGTTCGTTCACGTATCTGCGGCATATTCAAGAACTGGCATGACCAGAGACTTGTAGAGCGTAATTTTTGTTCGTCGAGAGATGGCGCTGCTTTCAATTCAAGATTTATGCTTCGCTTTATCTCCAGGCCGATGTCTTTTTCTATACTGGAATATGCTGCGGTTACGTCCCTTTGTTATTACGCTTTCCAGCATCAGATTGAAAAAGTCGCACGAGATATATCGCCTCGAATCGCCTTGTTTAAAACCTCGTTTGGTCTCAAAGAGCGCAGAGAGGTCCTCCTCAATTTGGACGGAGCTAAAAGTTGTGCTCGACGTCACTCTACATAGCCGTATTAGTTTTGCGGGGATACCAAATTTGGACATCCACCATTAAATGTGATGGAATATTTGTTTTCTACTTTTCACTATCAGAAGTACGAAGGTTATACGAGGGTCACTAAAAAGTCCTTACAATTCCTAGGATAGTAACAAATTTTGTCGGTAAACATGGTCTTATTGTTTTTCCCACAGTGTAGCCGGTACCTCAAAAACATGGGTTTTGAACGCGTCAACAGCTTCTTGAGACTATAAAAATCGTTGTCAGCGCAGTTTATCCTTGATATGCGGGAACAAAAATACTATTAGGTGCTAAATAAGGGCTGTACGGTGAATGACCCACCAATTCTATGTTGCGAGTGCTTAAAAATCACTGTTCTACGCTGCTTTAACGTCGCCATAGCTACATGCCCGGAGAAAAAAGCGCTCATTTCTTTCGAAGTGCTTCCTGCGTGAACCAATTTGATTCGTTTTTTCTTACTTTGAAAGAGTCATAAAGCTGATTAGCCTTTTCTTCTGGATTCCTGCGCATATACTTAGTACGTGGACAATTTGAAAAGTCAGTGACTTTGTTTCAGTGATGACCTCTTCGTTCGACTCAAATCTCTTACCGCCTAGGAAACAGGAAATAGTCGCTGGGCGGTAAATCTGCCGAGTATGATGGATTGAATAGGAGTTCGTAGCCCAATTATTGGACTTTTTCTATGGTGACTAGCACTTTTTTCTCGGCCAAATGTGGTCGTTTTTACTTCAAATCAATATCAAATCTGCCCATGATCTTGTTGGACGACAGACCCACTTTAGTGCAGTTATTGATTGTTCCTTGGTCTCTGTTGTGTTGTGGTAGATCCGAGTTTCGTCAAGGGTTACGAGACGGTGCAATAACTCGTTCGGATTGCGGGTGAACATCACGAAACACTTCTTTGAAGTTGCGTTTATGGTGGGGCGTAAGCAAGCACCTTATCCAAATATTCATAAAAAATGTGATGTGCCATCTTACGCACTTTCATTCCCCGATCGTCCAATATCATTCCATTGATTTTATCAACAATTTCTGTCGTAAAAACCTTTTTTGGGCGACCTGAACGCTCGGAGTCACTTGTGCTGGTACAACCATAATGGTACTGAGTTCCGTAGTTTAACAACCGTTACTTCAAAAAACCCCGTAAGAGACTTTTACGTTGATGACATGAAGGTTTTGCCTGAGAAGACCCCTAGTAAAATTTTCCGAAGAATAATTTTCGTGAATATGTTAATCCTCCAAATTTGCCTTTTGCGGCGTTTCTTGAAATAAGGGTCAAAACGACTCTTTCAGGCGGGAGCCAATGGGTTAAAATGTTTTACGAAAATATTTCCCATGCAATTTCACTATATATGTATGTCTTAATCTTTAAATTCGCTTAGACATTTATTTTGACCATTTTTTTCGACTTTTCTGAAAACTACTTAGGCGGAGACATGAAAACTTTAGTAGGCCATAAAATAAAAAGATGAGCTAACTTTTGCAAATCCATCGAGTGTTTTGCTACTGGATGGGTATACTTTCAGAAAATGCTAACAAAGTCCGGGCTGGTCTCGGCTATCGCACAGTGCTACCGAATTCGCCTAGCATCCATAGCCTTGATCAGATAAGGCATTTATGACAATGAAATGATCTTGTCCTTCAAAAAACTAACTGTACGAGCATGCTTCTGCCGAACACGGTCTGCTGCTGGTTAAATGTGAAAACAGTTTTCTTTTTGTTGCCATATCGCTTACTTCGCAATTCTTCATTTCCTAGCCGATTTTAAAGACTTTTTTTTTGTTTTTTGAAATTGCATACTTTGATACACTTTATTCGATTTACATATGAGTATTAACGTACAATAATAGTAATGTAGGTATTTATCGCGGTCAAACAGCCTTAAACTAACTAATAAACAAAAAAAAAACATAAACGAGAATTATTTATAACGAATAACGAAGATATTTAATATGAAGAACATGGTGAAGCGCGTGTGTGAATGTGTATGCATGAAATATTGAGACAAATACATATTTTAAAATAGCTTAAACAACAACAAGCCAACGAAATAAGGTGAATATAAAAAGTACTAAAGTGCGCTTAGGTGCAGCTATGAATTCTCAGCGTTCTTTCGCTTAGAAACTCCAGAGCTTTCAACAGAGAGAGAGAGAGAGTATGTAGCTGGAGTTAAAATTCGAAGTGCGCGTATATGTGAGTGCGTGTGTATGTGCAAACTACTACTACTACTACAGCGAAAACATTTCCAACTTTGATTTGCTGAAATGCATTGAGTAGAAGAATTTCATTTGCCACTGTGCGAGAACGCGCCAATCCCGATAAAGCGTAGGATGCGCGCTTCAACTTCAACTTCAAAGCAGTGAAGCTGTGATTAAAGTGCAGATGAAAGCGCCGATATATAGCGCTAGTGTGGAAAGGGCGCTTGCATGCTTGTGCGTTGTTTGTTTGTTTCTTTGTTGGCTTGTCGACTTGCAGAGGGCTACTAGCTAGTTGTGTTGTCAATCATTTATGGGGCGATGGCAGCGGCAAGAGGTCGGCAACGGTAATATTTCACATTTTCGCATATACTTTTCTATGTATGTATATGTGAACTGACTAAGTGTGTGTGCGGGTGTGTGTTTTTTTCCAGTTGTTGCTGTTGTTGATGTCACATTTCGTCTTTTATCGCCGCTTAGCCGTGTAAGTAAGAAAGCGGTCCAGGACCTAATGGATGACCAAGCGCCGGTAGACCGTGCAATGCTGGTATTGCTGGTATAGCCTTAGCTATGACTGGAGCAGCCAATAACGGTGCAGGGGCGAGTACTTTGGCAATTGGAGCGACCGCCTTAACAGCAATTGGTTCACGTTTAACGATTGCATTAAATCCGTGCACTGGATCGGCGGTGTATTCGACAATGCGACGCGTGCCATCCGGTTCAATCAGCGAGTAAGCGCCTTGCACAACATCGCCGCTGCGCACTTCCTGTTGACTCTTCACATCGCCGGTTGAGCTATCCTAAAGTGAGAAATGCGGAATATGTATAAACAATAATCGAACACCTGCTTCGTAGACGCGGCGCGTGGTGCGCGCAATGATTTGTACACACACAAAATACTCACGTGAACATCATAGCTGAAGCTATACTGTGGATTGGGATCGTATGGCTCTGGGACGGCCACTTTTGCGACGGCAAGTGGCGCAGCAATCTTGGTGATGGCAGGCAGCACAGGCGCGGCAATTTTCGTCAGGGCTGGTAGCGCAGGTAATGCGGGTAATCCGGGCAATCCGGGCAGGCCGTGTAATCCTGCGATGCCTGCTAAACCTGGGTATCCGGGCCCGGGCAGGACTGCAACGGCGGTGGCGGCGGCCACCAAAGCGCTGAGAAGAATCAACTGTAAAAAAGAAATGCGTGTGCGTCAGTATAAAATCCACGTTTATAGGCAGGAGTTGTGTGTGCGGTTTAATCCTTTCAACGCACACACACACACGCGCTAGCACTGAGAAAAAGTCACACAGCCACACTTGCCTTTTGTACCATGACTGCTTGACTGTTGCGTTTGACAAATGAAATTACTCTGTGGTTCTTTGCAAGATCAACAATTGCTTTATATAGGCGCGGCAAGCAAGCAATTTTTGCAGCCACTTCGCAGAAAATGTGTGTGCATTGAAATTTACGCCCGCTTGTACCTACTTGCCTATTTGGCTGATGCAAGCGCGGCAAGCCAACTTAACAAAAATTGTTTATATAAAATACATACGTAAATACATATAGTTATTTATGCAAAAAAAAAATAAAATCAGCAGCAGCACCAACAACAAAGACACAAAGGCGTATTAGACGCGTTCAAACAAAAAAAAAGAAAATAAAAATCTACGAACGAAATTAAAATAATTCATTTTTCGTCGTTGTTGTGGCGGCGGCTGCCACTGCCGCTGCTTCTACTGCGCCAGCAGCGCGCTCATGCAAACTTGCGGAATGGTGCTGAACGCGGAGGCGGCGGCATTCGTGATTTAGGCTTAGGTTAGGCGCATAGGCCTATAACAAAATGGTGCTGCGGCAGTGAATGCAATATCAAAACAACAACAATGCAAAATAAGAACAGCAAATGGCAAGAGCACGCATGCCGCCTTGGAATAAACCGCATATACAAACGCACACGCCCATCTAGATCTACTGGTAACTGGTGCAACAGCGGCAGCAGCAGCAGCAGCAGCGTGCCTGTGCCCCACAGGCGTCGCCCAAGTACACACGCTGGGTACTCTACATACAGACATATATTTATAAGCCATATAACAGATACAAATGCATACGCACGCGCGCATGCGCATACAATATCATTTTTCTGCCTAGCTAGCAGGCGTGCGGTGCGGCGCTATGCAGCGGCAATCATCTGATGGTGGCAGGGTAATTTTTTTCATCACGCTTTAGGCTGGTCAACGTGTGCCACGTAATCCGCAATATAGGCACATTAAAGCTATGCATATCGAAGAACGCGCGTGTCTTACAAGGCGGCGCGTAGTAGTGGACACTAACTTAGCTAATGAAAAATAAAAATAGAGTACTGCAAAGTCGAATGCATGTACTCGCATGTAGTTGTAGATATACATATATGTACCTTGTCGGCGACGGCGGCGGCTCCTTTTCTTGTCACCGTTTGCGCGCCGCATTCATTGGCTGCACCCCTGAATGCTGGCAGCTTCCGCCTTAAAAGCTTGCCGTTAATTGACAAGTTTAGCTTAGTCTTTCGTTTCGGTTTCGCTTTAATTCAAAAGTAAAGTCCCTAAAATCACGAACAGACTTTAGGAAACTAACAGCTGTCAGCTACATATGTAACATGCAATTAGTGGTGGGCGATCCCGCATGCAGGTCATAGCTGGAATGTTGAGAATTTGCCCATTACTAAGTAGTTGATCGCAGGAATGTTTTCTGTAAATCTTTTTTTTTATGTATACAATTTTTTGCGGTGTTCACTTGCGCTCTCAGAAATCTTCTTTACTAGTGCACGCGCATGGCATTAAAACGCAAGAATTGAATTTATGTTTTTAAACAGGTGGCAACCCTCGCCAAAAGTATTTTCAAACCGAAATCTTCTTAAATTTCTTTCGACTGAAATTATGATAAATATGTATTTCTAATACATAACTCAAATTAATTTAAATACCCCAAAAATATTCCAAATGTTGAAACTAAAGATTTTTAAACACTCTTTTCGTTTCACACCCGTATTCTAATACTTCATATAACTTAGGTTTAATTTAAATAAAATCGATTTTTTAAATAGGTGGCAACCGTCTTAAAAATATTTTCAGACTAAAGCCCTCTTAAACCTCTTTCGCTTAGCACGTAAATTGCGATACATATTTTAGTTACCTAATAGTCCTAATTTAGGTTGAAATCGATTTTTTATACAGGTGGCAACCATATCAAAATACCTCAGAAATTTTCTAAATGTTGAAACTAACTATTTCTTCACATTCCTTCGCTTCACACCCATAATTTGATATTTCGTTCAACTTGGGTATAATTTAAATAAATTCGACTTTTCAAACAGGTGGCAACCGTCTTAAAAATATTTTTAGACTAAATCCTTATTGTAATACACATTTAAATTACCTAATAGCCCTAATTCATGTTGAAATCGATTTTTTATACAGGTGGCAAGCCTCTTCAAACACTTCCTAAATAGTGTAAGGGTTGAAACTAGAGATTTCGTAACACTTTCTCTCGAAATCCACGTATATATTAATATTTCATACAGAGACCAAAAACAACTATTATCTGAAATTTCAATTTCGAAAACGTTTTCCGAATTTTGAAATTTAATAAACAGTTATTAGATGAGAAATATTTTTTTTTATCTTGCCGATAAGAGTTATGACCCAAGGTGTATTTTTGACGTTGTTTGATAACAGTTATTGCCCAGAATCTATTTTTTACATTACTTGATAACAGTTATTATCCAACATTTATTTTTTACATTGTCTGTTAAACGTTGTAAGATAAGAACATTGACGAAAACGGAGATGGAGAAGAAGATAAAGATGATCAAAATAAAAGAGGAGGAGTGAAATAAGTGTTAACTGACAACATAAAAATAAGCGTTATCAAGCAACGTAAAAAGTAAACGTTAGGTTATAACTCTTATTGGCGACGGAAAACATATTTCTCCTGCATAACAGTTATCACGCAACGTAAAAAGTAAACGTTAGGTTATGACTTATCGGCGAAATAAAAAGAATTTCTCATTTAATAGTTGTTATGGAACAACGTTTTTCAATAAAACTTATAACTGTTATGTCTCTGATTTCATATAACTTAGGTATAGCTGAACTAAATTGGACTTTTCAAACTGGTGGCAACCCTATTTAAAATATTTTGAAACTGAAACCTTCTTAAACCTTTTTCGCCTAAAACACTTTCTTCACTATTTCAAATACATACTTAATGGCCTTAATTTAAGTTGAATTTGGCTTTTTAAACAGGTGGAAACCTTCCTAAAAAAAGTTCAGAAATAAAGACTCTTCGGTAACAATGAATTCCACGGCAAGCGAGGTTCGAGGAGGTGCCAAATCCTTAAAGTCCTTCGAGAATTTAACGCGAGTTAACTTTCCTTCATCAGTCAACTTTAAATCGATTGAGTTAACTCTCCTTTGAGGTGGATTTTCTTGTAGAAGAATTTATTCCTGATACTACAGTTGGACTTTAAGATCTTTTTGTTTGCCAACCGACAAAAAGTCTTGGCATAAATTATGTTTTAACCGCCATCCAAAACGATGAATTGCGCCTTACCTTGTACCACTATTGTTATTCGCTTAATTGAGGCTGCTGTCACGCGTGCCACTATTTCTGTTTTCTTTTCTTTTTGTCTGCCTTGGGGCCCTTCTTTGCTTTAATTTGTTTACACAAGCGCGTGTGCGTAAATGCCAAATTTACTTTCAATTAACCGGTTCAATATATCGTACACAATTTTCCAAACAATTTGTTGAATACTCACTTTTTATCTGCTCGTTGGTGTTGTTGCAATATTAAAGTACGGCAAGCTGTTTTGTTATGCATTTTTCAGTTGTTGCAAGCGATTACACCGTTGTCAACATTATTTCGATTTATTGCTAGCTGACTACGCGATGCATTTTGCGTTATTTATTTACATATGTATATGTATGTATGTTCTTCTCTTTTTGCCTTAACAGGTACTTTATGACTTATATGGCTATTTTATGTAGATATTTGTGACAATTTTCATGGCATGCCACTTGTGCGAATGCAATTAGATTCCAATTGACAGTTTAACAACGGCACCTACCATAAATCGCCGCACTGAATTTGCATTTGAATTCGGTATTGCAGAATTTTGTGAAATACGAAGAATTTCGATGAGACTTTGTTTTTTACAATTTGTTGGGTACAACGATAATTTTATTTTTGCATCTTGAATGTTGGTGAATTGCGTCAGTGAAATACGATTCGAGGAGAATTGATCGAGTTTCTTAAAAATTAATAAGCTACAAATTTTTTCTTAATACAAAAGCACCGAAAAACTTCTTAGATTTCTTAAGTCCTTAACCGCAGTTTATTTAAATAATAAGGCTAAATATTTACTTTTGCAATCTGAATCAAGCTGATATATAGTATATCGTTCAGTAGTAAAGTAGATGAATAGAACCCCTTACTAGCCGTTCTAGCTTCTTAACTATTTAATATAGACTTTTCTAGAAAATTTTACCAGAAATGACCCCATACAACAATAATTGGTCTGTATGTGGCTTTATACAGCCTGTGAAATATGTACATATGTATGTATGTTGTTGGCCGAGTTCAACAAAGCACGACAGGCGTTTTTTTTCTGTGCCAACGGATGGATTAGGAGTTGTTACATTTTTCCGGAAGAACGTGTTTTTGGTCGAAAATGGTGGCACACTTATCTTGGATAATGCATTATCTTCAGTTTTGTATAAAGAACAAGATTCCATCGAGAAATTGTATTTAAATGGAAGCTTAAAAAATATATGTATAAGTAGATACTAAAAACAATGTCAGCTAATACGTTTACTCTCGCACGCCTTAATTTAAAAGTCATATTATTAAAAAATAATTAAATATTGGCATGAAATATTTTTCTACAGTATTCTTGACGAATATATATATATTAATTTCTTTATATATTGTAAAATTCGAATTTTTGTTTCGCAAATTATCCTCATTTTATAATCAATGTAATTTTTTTCATTTGGTGGCATACTACTTTTATTACTCTCTCTAGATGGGTTCTCTTTGGCAAAATATATTTGGTAAAATATAATATATAATATATTTTGGTAAAATATAATATTAAAGTTTTGAAGTAACTTAAACTTCTAAAATTACAAAAATCGGTAAATATCAAAAATTACAAAATAGCTGCGATATATCGACTGCTGAGTGGAAGATCGACCTGTCTCGGCAGCCAGTTCGAAAACGCTCTATCTCAAAAAACTTCAAAAATGTCCTATAGCATCACATTTTCAATACATTTTGAAGTAAGATAGGGCGTTTTTGAA